GCTGCCCCCGTCATGATATCAAAATCGTGCTTGGCGACTTCAATGCCAGGGTGGGCAAGGAAGAGATCTTTGGAACCACCGTCGGAAAATTCAGCCTCCACGACGAAACATCCGACAACGGATTGAGGCTGATCGACTTCGCCGGGGCCCGATACATGGTAGTATGCAGTACTAGGTTCAAGCATAAAAAGATCCATCAAGCTACGTGGCTGTCTCCGGATCGAAAAACGAGAAACCAAATCGGTCATGTTGTGCTAGACGGAAGCCACGCTTCCAGTGTTTAAGACGTACGCACACTCCGAGGCCCAAACATCGACTCGGACCACTATCTTCTTGTAGCCAAGATACGCACCCGCCTCTGTGCAGCAAAAAATGTGCGCCCAAATATGCAAGGAAAGCTTAACGTCGAAAAGCTGCAATCACAACAGACAGCCAGCGCTTTCGCTACTCGACTCTCACACCTGCTCTCAGAGAGCACTCTTCAACAAACCGACATATGCGAGCAGTGGAACCACATTTCCCGCTCATTAAGTACCGCCGCCGAAGAAGTAGTCGGATTTCAGCGAGCCCGAAAGAACAACTGGTACGATGAGGAGTGTCAGGAAACTGCAGAAAAAAGAGATGCCGCCTACAGGGCCACGCTGCGATCGGGCGCAACGCGCGCTATGTGGGACCGCTATAGGGATCTGAAGAGGGAAGCGAGACGTATTTGCCGCAATAAGAAGAGAGAGGCCGAAATACGTGAGTGCGAAGAGCTTGAAATGCTGGCCAACAGGAAGAATGCCCGAAAATTTTACCAGAAAGTTAGGCGACTTACGGAAGGTTTAAAGACCGGGGCGTACTCCTGTAAGAACAATAATGGCGACCTGGTAAGTGATGTCCAGAGCGTACTTAAATTATGGAGGGAACACTTTTCCGCCCTACTAAATGGAAGCAGCACGGAAAGTTGTGGAGAAGAAGAACCCGAGCCCGCTGTCGATGATGACGGAGTCGACGTTCCACCGCCTGACTATGACGAGGTACGTATAGCAATAACGCGGCTGAAAAACAACAAAGCTGGTGGAGCTGACAGCCTGCCAGCTGAGCTATTCAAGTACGGCGGCGAGGAGTTGATAAGGTGCATGCATCAACTCTTGTGTAGAATATGGTCAGATGAACGCATGCCCGACGACTGGAATTTAAGTGTGCTGTGCCCAATCCACAAGAAAGGTGACCCCGCCATTCGCGCCAACTACAGCGGGATCAGCCTTCTAGGCATAGGTTACAAGGTCTTATCGAGCGTACTGTGTGAAAGACTTAAGCCCACCGTCAATGAACTGATTGGGCCTTATCAGTGTGGCTTTAGACCTGGAAAATCCACCATAGACCAGGTATTCACAATACGCCAAATCTTGGAAAAGACCCGGGAGAAAAGGATCGACACTCACCACCTATTTTTCGACTTTAAAGCCGCCTTTGACAGCACTAAAAGGAGTTGCCTATACGCCGCTATGTCTGAATTTGGCATCCCCTCAAAACATATACGGCTGTGTAAAATGACGTTGAGCAATACCACCAGCTCCGTCAGAATTGGGAAAGACCTCTCCGAGCCGTTAGCCACAAAACGGGGTTTCAGACAGGGCGACTCCCTTTCATGTGACTTCTTTAATCTGATGTTGGAGAAGATAATAAGAGCTGCAGAACTGAACCGCTCAGGAACAATTTACTACAAGAGCGTGCAATTGCTGGCTTATGCCAATGACATCGACATCATCGGTAACAAAAACCGCGAAGTCTGTTCTGCCTTTTCCAAGTTGGATAGGGAAGCAAAGCGAATGGGTCTGGTGGTAAACGAGGACAAGACGAAGTATCTCCTGTCATCAAACAAACAGTCAGCACATTCACGCCTTGGCACCCACGTCACTGTTGACAGTTACAATTTCGAGAAAGTAGAGAATTTCGTTTACTTGGGAACCAGCATTATCACCGATAATAATGTCAGCATTGAAATCCAACGCAGAATCACTCTTGCCAACAAGTGCTACTTTGGACTGAGTAGGCAATTCTGGAGTAAAGTCCTCTCTCGACGTACGAAAACCACGCTCTATAAGTCACTCATCATGCCCGTGCTGGTATATGGCGCAGAAGCATGGACAATGACAACATCCGATGAGGCGGCTCTTGGAGTGTTTGAGAGAAAGATTTTGCGGAAGATTTACGGGCATTTACGCGTTGGCGACGGCGAGTACTGCAGACGATGGAACGATGAGCTGTATGAGTTTTACAACGATATGGACATAGTGCAGCGAATTAAAATACAGCGGCTCCGCTGGCTTGGTCATGTCGTTCGAATGGACACCGACGCTCCAGCTCTGAAAGTATTCAACTCGGAACCCGCTGGTGGTAGCAGAGGAAGAGGGAGGCCCCCACTGCGATGGAAAGATCAGGTGGAGAAGGACTTGGCTTCACTTGGCGTTTCCAATTGGCGTCAGTTGGCACAGAGGAGAAACGAATGGCGTGCTTTGCTGAACTCGGCCAAAATCGCTTAGGCGGTTACAGCGCCAAAAAAGAAGAAGAAGAATTTATTCAAGAAGTGATTACCAGTAAATAATATGGTTAATCGGGAAACATAAATATAAATAATATATTTACTGCGAAAACGCGGGGCCGTATGAAAAGCGGGAAAAAATTGTGGAGTTCGCCACATGAAAATGTTAAGACTGACAAAAAATATTCAGGCATGTTCTGCAAATCGTACGATTTCAAATCGGCGCGATTTGCAAAGTATTGTTGTGTATTTGTAATCAAAGTATTAAATTTTTCAAATGAAAACTTCTAGAAACATATCGTTTACGTTATATCCATCGATTTGGTGCCAAATTTTTACCTCTGGGTCATAAATCTTCCGAAATAGATTTTGTAATTCGCACCGATTTGAAATCTAACGATTTGCAGAACATGCCCGATAGCCTAAAATGTTATCAAGGACAAAGGCAGTCTGCCAAAAAATATTACAGTCGATATCTTGTGAACTTAGTAGCAGTAGCGCTGCAGCCACTATTACAGAAGCGCTTAAGGTATTAAAATTGAATGCAAATCAGTAGACAGCGAGGCGAAGAGTTGTCAAATTGAACGCCAAGGCATGATAAAAGAAGAAAAAAGCAAATTTGATCAAAATACATGTGCGAGAATGGTAGCATTTTGCCGGATCGCACGAAAACCGGACCGTTGCCTATTGGGATATGTGAGGCCTTACAGAATGCAATAAAAAAAACATATTTTTAAGTTTCAATTGAAGGTTATTTGGTCTGACAATACTAAATTAATCGCTTTCAATCAAATGGCCGGGCATGGTATTGGTTCAAAGACCCAAATTAAACCTAAGCGCACCATTTAAGGCAAACTGTGAATCACAGTAGTCGGTCAATAATAGTTTGGGGTTGTATTTCTAAAATATTGTTGGTCCGTTAGTACGCATTATGCGTAAAGAACAGTATCTGTTCATATTTCAACAAAATTTACAAGATGTAGTCGAAAAATGAGAGTTTCTGCTGAAAAATCACCCAAAACATACTGCATATTTTCGCAAAAATTGGATGCAAAAGCAAAAATTTGCTATTTTGAAATGGCCTCCACAATCCGCGGATGTGAATCTCGAAAATTTGCGAAATCAACTAAAATCGCAGCTTACTAAGTATCCAAGTCTGTCCAATGGAGTACATGAGCTATGAAAGCAAACCAGGGTATATGGGAGGCTATACCTCCAGAATCTTTACAGAAATACAAATAGGGGCCAAATTGCATCAAGGAACTAAAAAAAGAAAAATTATACTGAACATTGTGTGAGCAATTCTTTTTTTTGTGAAAATTGTCCGAAAGTTATTAAAAATGTATGAGTGCAAAACTGTAACATCTGCCTTAATTTACATTTTTGACTGTTCGTTTTATTATTATTGTTGGATTGACTTCAATTCGTTATGAGAGAGCAAGTACAGGTGTACCAATAAGAATATATAACAAAAGTATGAATGTCGTTAGAACTAGGAAAGATATCGGCGGCTGATATAAAAAGCGTTACACCATGTTACAGTTTTGCTCGTCACTGTATGTAGTTACATAAAGGTACATATTAATAAAAAATTTAAACTATTAAAATTTATTGTTTTAATGATTAATCCCTATAGTCTTCTGTAAATATATAATGTGAATCAGTTTAAAAAATAAAATTGTCTTATTTGACTTCAAATGTTTGCTGCTTTTGTATTTTTCTATACAAATATGAAGTACTGTCTGCATTGTCTACTATAAACGTTCATACCTGTCGCAGAAACGAGCAGAAAAATAGAAAAATTTCAATTTTGTTCTCACATGAACTAGAATTTGGTATGCACACACGCCGCGAAATTCGGGAGAGTAACGTGAATATGGCGTCATGGTAGATTTGCCGGTGGAGAGAGCTGAGAGAGATCTATCAGTATCTATATGTTTTGCATATATATATGTACATGTATATTACACAGGCAATACACAAAATCTCCTATGACGTCATATCTCTGTCAAAATTTTCAAGAGAGAGTAAGCGGTATCACAATCAGCGCCACCTTCTGTATTCGTTTCACCATGCGATGTGACGGTATGTCATACTTGACATGTACAGACAAGTCAGCTTGTGTGTATTCTGCTTAACAGCGCTCTTTTACAGATTACTGATACTAAGGAAGTTCTGTTGTTTATCTCATTGAATAAGTTTGATATGTGGCTGGGAAAGTTAAAAGGGACCAACGGGTCGAAATAATCGATTTTGACTTTTTACCGATTCTTGTAGTAGATTTTACGCTCATTTTAATGCAACAACCGCAGCTTTCTAGCTCCATCAGCTTTTCAAAAATTCACTTCAAAAAAGGGCATATTTATAAGAAAACCTACAATTGTAAAATAAAGTACTTTTTCTCGAAAACCTATTTCGAACCATAGGACCTTTTTAACTTTCCCAGTCCCATATATTTTTTCTGTGCAACTTACATCATCTGCGTGAGAGTCGTATGTCAAATGGTTGCTTGAAAACGGATGTGATTGTACACGATGGTGATCACGTGTTTCTCGGGAGTATTCGCCTTGATATTTTTTCGGTTGTGGCGGCTGTTTGCGGCGATGTTGCAGACGGCTTTGAGATAGTGGCTGCTGTTGATACTGGCGAGAATGCTGATAATCGTATTCAGTAGCATTACCATCAAAGCCGTTGTCATAATCGTAGCCAATGTCGACGGGCGCAAATGCGTGTTCGTAAACGTGTTGGCCCGTTTTGGACTCACCATCGCTGTTATAATCATAATATTCATCATCATCATCGCCGTACTCAGTAATTTTTTCACTGCTAGTCTCTGTAGGCATGTGGCTACTATCAGACTCTAAGATTATACCTATAATATTATCCGTACTAGTGCCTACTGACTCCGAATGTTCCTCCACATATACCGTAGCGTTATCAGCATCTTCGTTGATGTGACTGCTTGAACTAAAAGGTGACTCTTCCACATACACCTCTCCATTGTGGCCAACATGTTTCGACTTCGCATGCCAGTTCAGTTGAATGTCATTAGCTGATGGCGCTGTGCGCTTTGCGCCACTGGAATTTGATTTTGATTGAATTTTGTGATGATTGTAATGTAGCTGCTGCCGTATTTTCCTTTGATGGTAATAATTTTGAGTGCTTTCGTTAACCTCGTCAAAGGTAATTGTGTGAGTCGATTTTTTTGTCACATATGTAGGATGCGGTGTCGGCTTAATCAGTCCCATTCCACCCGCAGCCGTCTCACGCCAAGCATGTATTGAGTTTTTTTGAGTTTGAGTGCGAAGTACTTTATCCTTATAGCGCCGATGCTGATCACGACTATTGCGATTAAAGTGAAGATGATTTTCCAGCTGTGTTTGCATCCTTGATTCTGAATGTTTATGCCTACTTTGATATTGATTGTGTAAATGCTGACGAATGCTCCAACTTTCAGTTACGCCTGCAGTTGTTGATAAGTCTTTAGCAATTTCGGTCTTATCAACTTCAAAATGGTGCTGATGCCTTATACTGTGAAATGGTCGAAAGTGCGACAATACTGTTTCGGAATCTGAATATTCGCCACCGCTATCGTAATCATAGCTGGCGGCCAGCGGCTGGGCAAACTGCGGCCTAAGGTGAATTAGCACTACAAACGCCAATAGAGTTTGCATTTTTATTGTTTATAAAGAAATGAAAAGGCACACTGCGATTGAATGAAAAACTGAGGTTTAGGGTAGTGTTGGATCTCTTGCAGGCAATTTTGTTCTGATAGTTTGCTTAAGAGTTTTTCGGTTACATTCACGTGCTTCTTTTCCGCTTTTAATGGCTAAACAAATTTCACTTTGTCACATTTTTTTGTGAACTATACACTTACGGTAAATTCTTTTCTCCCAAAAAATCTACCAATTCAAAATATGTTTATAAAACACTCAACCTTGCAAAAGTGCACGTTTTTGCTTTATCTAGCTCACGCATTTCATAATATTGTCGGTTTAAGCAACCATCTGCTTTTCAGGCCAACCATATCCCCTGACATTAGAAAAAAGCTATCTTTGGACTTTTATTTAATTTGAAATAAAATAACACACTTCAATAAAATTCGGTCGTATTTTATCTCAAGAATGGGATCGACCTCTTCTATAGATTTTTTGATGCTGATTTGAAGTTAATTTACAAAATTTTTGAGCACATGCAGTTTTTGAGAAAAAAAGGCAAATTTCAAAAAACAATTTAAGTATAATTTGGACGTAATTTTTCCGAAGAGAAAAACCACGTATTAATGAAAATCCAATTCGTTTTTGGATTCTACCTCATGTCGATAAGTTTATTAGAAATGAGTGAAAAATAAAAAAAACAACTCAGTTCTTCAAAAGCATGCACTTGTTTTATCACAAACACGAAAATCTCTATCTATGAATTTATTTTAAAAACAAAGTGATGTCATCAACAAATCAACATTAAAAAATCAATATCCCAGATTCGTCTTTAGCCAGTCTTTTGTCTCTTAACACTTTCCACGTTCTTGAATGAACTCATCAAACATTTTTGTTTTGTGGATCCTAAGGTGACCAGAATTTTTTAACATTCCAATAGAACAAATTCTCGAAGTACAAACACAAAAAAAAATTATATTTATTTTAACACATAAATAACGAGTAAGTTAACAATTCAAAGTTTCTCTAAACACAAGTCAAACAAGTTAATGGTACACTGCGTTGCATAATTATGTATAAGATCGCACCATATTAACAAGTTTTGACTATTTATTTATAAATTATTTAATTGTAATTGTATAACTTGAAAAAGAAATTGCTTTTGTTCTTCGTCTTTCGTCAAAGTTCGATTATAATTTTGTGTCAACGCTATACCTCGTTCAGCGATTTCATTAACATACCTAATACTCTTAGGGCCGTTTTCTAATGTAAGCAGTAAAGTTGCCTTTACTAACAGGGCAGATAAATTGTTCCTCACTTTAAAGTGTTTTCGTTTTCTTACCTTGCCGGTAAAAATAAATTTGTTATTCCGTATAGTGAAACTTCACTACATTTCCGAGAGTGAAACTTCACTACATTCGTCATAAAAATTCAAAGGTTGGCAATGCAACATAAGCAAATATAGAGCAGGAGCAACTGTTAGCAAAAACCAAACCCTTGGTTGAAATATCTCATATATCTGACTCATGAACCAAAACCAAACCAAAATTTAAAGTTGGGTACAAATTTTAAAGGTTGCATCGGGTGAGCAACAGTTTATCGATTCGAGAAATTAATGCGCTGATGAGAAAACGAAAACTCGTATATCGAGACGATAAAGTGGCCGGTAAACTAAAGGTAGATGAGAAAACGGCCCTTAATCGTCTTAAAGACAACCAACTCTAGGGTCATGTTTTAGAGAATTTAATGCCCTACAAAAATATGCTTAGAAAAAACTTGTATCCCTTTTTTAACGGTTCAAAAGTTATATCATTTTTAATGAAAACTATTTTTTTACATTTATTTACGTAGAAGATTTAAAATGCCCACCGACACCCCTTAAAATAGAAATACAAATTTTTTTGCGAGAATTTCCTTCTCAGTAAATAGGTCATTTTAAGGCCATAAATTCGCTAGGTTAGTTATTTTTGATCACCCTAATATATAAATACAAGAATTACTCGTTTAAAATAATAATAATAAGCGGCAAATTTACCGCAAAATACCCCTCAAAAAAAAGACTGGATCCGCCAGTGGCCTGTTTTATTTTTGACTATGAACTTGGATGTTAAATAACACATTTTCTAAATTTTTTTAAGCATATTTGCGCCCCAATTCAACAATTCAACGAACATACTTGTTTTGAGCCATCATACAAATGATTTTATCAAGATAAAAAATTCCCACACACAAATATTGCCACTGATAAAACTTATACATATCTGGCAAACAAAATGACATATGTTAGGCAAAAATTTTCGCCTGTGAAATTTTTTTTTCGCTACAAAATTCATGCAAAACTTAAGTAATTGCTAAAATTCATAAGTATACTGATGGTTTTAGCGACCTTTCTACTTGTAATTTAAAACTTTGCAGGCTCGAGGTCAATTTTAAAAATTTTTTATGAAAAGTTTTTATGAAAGTTTTTTTTGTGTTTCTTTCCGATATATTTCGGTTACGCTTCGGTAACCGTCCTCAGGGCAAAGTAATTTACACGTCCGCACTGTTTGACGTGGAGTAACAAACTCCACGCAAAAAACGCATTACTTCCAAAAGTGTAAAGAATGAGCAGGTTTTTATTTCTTCTTACGAAAGCTAAAAACCCGTACTATTTAATAAAATAATAAAAAATAACATCTTTTTACATATATTTTTTATTCATTCCAAAATTTAGGTTTTTTTTAAAATTTGGTTTAAAAAACTTGTTTTCTGGAACACCGCTGGGACACCCTGTGTTTAATTTTATTCCAAATTTTAATTCCTGTAATTCTCTACTATCTATATGGAAACAAGAAAAGACAAATCAATATTTTATTTCAAAGAATATATTTTTGAAACTTTTTTCTGTGAAGAGCTTATTAAAATTTTTAGTATAAAATTTGTCGACTTTAGTGTTTTCCTGGCGGCATATAATTTTTTTTTTAGAGAAATGTCTGTTTAATTATTTTTAGTGGATAAATTGTCTTTACAAAAATACGAAACAAGTTCACATTACAGATAACGAATTTTTCGATTTGCACCCACTTAGGCGGCACTGTGCGGCGTCGTTTTTCAATTTTGTACATCTACATTTTGAGGCACTATTTGGAACGAACTGTGAACAACCCATATACATATATGTTGCGGCACAGTGTCTCAATGCTTTTCGGCAATTTTTTACAAGCGTAGCTTGAACAAAGGTGAAGTGAGTGGCATGTGCACTTTATATAATGTTTCAGCCCGCCTAAGTCTCCAGCCATAACATTGGCTCCTTCAGTGGCCAAACCAATTAGGTTTCTTATTTTTAAAGGCAGGATTGGCAAATGTTTAAAAGGTACAATTGGCAAATATTTATATGAAAAATTATGTTTGAAATATGTATATATTTTTATAATTAAGAATTTAAAAACTTAGTTCAACTATCCGACCAAAATCTTACTTTGCCGACCAACCTACCAAATGAAAAAGAAGCGACCAAATTCGGTCGGAAAAGAGCAATAGTGGCAACACTGTGCCCGAGTTTCAACTCGAGTATGCACAAACTTTTGCTTGTTTGGCTTATGGTAGTGCAGCGATCAAAGAAACGCAGCGAGTATGATGAAACTGAGTATATTCCACCCAACATCCATAACCAAGAATGATTGAATACAAGATTGCGCCCATGAGAGAGGATTTTTGGGCGTAGTTTTTGCATGACGTCATCTTGGTCCAATCGCGAGAGAAATGCCAAAACGCATAGGAAAATATATAAACCATGCCGAATAATGTGTTAATATCAATACTAAATGGTCCAATTTTGCAGGAATTAACAAATAAGCAAAGTTTAATTAAATAGGAACACGTAGCAATGATTTTGGGCATGTAGCCCTTTAGGTAAGTACGATTTTCAGCACTTGCTGGTGGTTGAAAAAATGCATGAAGTATATGTAAAAAATATATTTTTTAAAAGCAAGCGTTTATTTAACATGTGCGATCAAAGGAATAAAATAAAGTAGGGTAACAAAAGATTTTTTAGCATGAAAATTTTGTCAAAACTGCACTAAAATTAATAAAATAAAATAAGTTAAGGTCTCGTTAAAGTTATTAAAAGCCATTTAGTGAAATGAGTGTAGTATACGTGGTATTGTATGTACATGCACATCATGTAGTAAGCTGACATAATAGTTCGTCAATATACTCTCATTTACATTTCCCCTATATTTATGTATATATTTATGTGTTTGTGTTTCTTGTCTGTTTGAATATTGTATATGTATTTATTCTTAAATGTTGTCTTGTTCAGGTTTATATAAAAATATGTTTATGTGTGTTGAAATGTGTGTTTTCATATTGTAAAATACTTGTACATACCCACCAAACAATTTGTGTTGCCGGCAATAAGAAAACGTGTCGCCCTCGGAAACAAATTTATTGCCGGTAATATTGCCATCGAATCGATTTCCTATTACCGGTCGCTCTAAAACGTCCGCCGAAGGCAACTCGCCTGGGTGAGTCGTTTTCTTATTACCTGAATGAGTCCTTTTCTTATCGCATCAGGCGATATTTGGAATAATTTTATTCTTCTTAATACTTCATTTATTTTTTTGTATACCAAATTGCAACTTACAATCGGAATTAATTCATTTTCTCGCTGTGAGACTTCCTATTTTTTCAATCTTGTCCTTGGGCATAATTTAAATGCTTTTGGCCAATTCTATTGACGGCATATTCATAAGTTTCGGAATTTTTGAGAACTTTTTTATTCAAAATTGACATGAACGAAGGGGTGTTGCCGATTTGTCACCACAGCAATAAATCGGTGAGTCGCCAATTTGTTGCCATTGACGATTGTTGCCTATTTCTCATGTTTTGCATGGTGGGTATATTTCATTCTGATTTTTGTATGGATTTGTGTATAAATATTCAAAGGGGCGTATACCTGTTTGGCTCGTTGAATGTATAGAAAAAGGGGAGCAGCTGTACGTGACTCGTTGGAAAAAATAATTTAGCGAGTAAGAGTTTTTGAATTGAAAAATGTATAGTTAGA